TTATTATTATTATTATTATTATTATTATTATTATTATTAATTATTATTATTAAAATATAATAAGAATTAATAGTAATAATTATTATTATTTAATTACTATTATTATTAATATTATCATTATAACTACTGTTCTTATTATTACTGTTCATTAATTGATTAGTCCCTTTTTGAATATTTTTCAAAAATTTTATCATTTTTCAGCAATGAACGGTCTGTTCACAATTATGCACCAAATAGTAAGTACAAATTAGGAGATGGGATAAGAGATGGGATAAATGGGAACATTGTTGGAGTTATCAAATGTTCCGTTGGTGATAACGATGATTGCGGGAGATTAGATTATCAGGTGTATGATGATGGTCGTATGTATGATCTGAAATGTTCAGATGGTCGTTCACTTGTACTTAGTTTTAGCAAAAAGGTCACTTTTACATTGGTTTTAAATTTTAAACAGTATGCAATTTTTTTTACTATTCCAAGTGAAAAATGGTCACTAGAGAAAGAAAAAGTTCCTGAAAATTTCGGAAAGACGAAAGAAACGACTTTGTAAGTTTAAAAAATTAGTCGATCTCTGATCTTTACCATAATTTACAATAATTTTCCAAACTTTAATTGAGTTACTCATTGCAGTTACGCTGAAGAAAATTGCAAATTTTATAAAAATAAGTTTTTTGCTTTTTTTTTGTCTTTGCAAAATATTTAAAATTTTGTTGTTTTTGCAAAATATTTAAAATTTCAATTTTAGAATGTGGCATTGGTGACAAATTGGCACAGAATTGGTGACCCTTCGCTTTCCTAAGCACTCCAATTTTGTTGGCATGATAAAATTCTGAATAAAATTGCGCATCGTCATTTAAAATTTCTTTGTATGCAACAAATTTATTCATTATTTTATGAAATTCTATAAATTTAATCAAAATATAGGAGGAATATCTTGATTTAACACAACAATGGTAAACATCTGGTGACCTTTCACATGCTTACAGAGCAACAAGTAAAAGTCTGATGACCTTTCATATGCTTATAAAGCAAAAAGTAAAAATCTAATCTTTTACATACCTACGCAGCAAAGATCTGATGATATTTTACACATATACCTTTAAATAGGTATTTACGCTTGATCATAGGATGATTCATCATAATAAAAGTAAAAACATGATGACCTTTTACATATGTATAGAGTAAAAAGTAATGACCCATAAATCTTTTACGCATATACTATTACATGAATGCCTAAAGATTATTTATCATAATAAGGATTTGATAATCTTTCAAACAAATATTAATTATATTAATGTTTACTTTTGAATACATAGAGACTGATTCATCCATTTCACTGATATTCTTATCATCAGTTAACAATAATCAATTACGTGAAAATGTTTACGTAAATGTTAAGTAACATGAACATGATTAAACAATTCTTACTCCATTAATTCGTTGCACAAAAAGTGGAATTATTCTTTCCGTTTTTTTTAATGAATGACAACCGGTCAACATGTTTATAATTTCTTTTAGGATATCTTTTTGTCGATAGATAAAAATAATTACCATATTGTATGAATTAATATTACCTAATAGAAGAGCATATAGTGCCATTTCATTCTCATTAAGAGTATCCAATCGATCATGTATTAATTGATTTATTGCTGGTACAATGTATAGGACTGTAATATAAGATTATGTGATTAGCTTAGTGATAACGATAAAATTTGAATAAAGCTTTAAAATGTTAAAAACTTACAAAATGTTGTTGAACATGACCAAATTGCTGTTTTTGTATAAGCTTTTTGTCGTTCGATAAAAGCATCGATATTAGCAAATGAAATTGATTGATTCATTGCTATTATCGTTTGGCGTTTTCTACAATTTTTTCTTTTTTTAAGAAAAAAAATTTTAAAAGAGAAAAAAAGTTCTGATTAATTGCTTTCAATTATCATCAATCATTCAATGTAACAAATAAAAAAAGAAAGAAAATTATCATAAATTATAAAATATATCTAAAATATGTTATAATATTATTATCATATCAGGATTGAAATATCAGTACAGAAATATCAGAATTGAATGATAAAAAAGGAGTAAAAAATTATGGAGTGAAAGAAAAATTTACATAAAATTAAAATATTGATGAAATTGTGAAAGAGATTGAAATAACACCAACCTATGCATAATAACAATAACAAGTAACATTACTGGAATACTTAATGTAGCAGCTAATGTTCGTATACATAAAATAACCGAATATGTATTCTCCGCATAGATTAAATGTTCACTAAAAAAGGAAAATAAATAAATTCCATAAAATAATAAATACACGCTTTTATTGACAAAAAAAAAAAAAATTAATTTTTGAAAATTTTTTACAAGAAATTAATTCATTAAATCAATTTCCATTCTTTGATAAGAAAAGTAAAAATACAAAAAAAAAAACAATCAATAATTCTTTTTTTTTTAAAAAAAAGCATATAGCTTTATTATATAATTATAATAAAATGTTTAATAAAAAAAAAATAGAAAGTGAAAAATGTTAATATCATAAAATAGCATAAAAATTTAAAAGAAAAAAAAAACGAAATACTAACAAACAAATGGGTGGAACATAGCGTGGCGGTAAAAGTAGCTCAAGCGCAATTGATATAATCATGGTAATAAATGGAATGATGTAAATCATGATTACAAGAATAATGACAACTTTTTTCATATTCTTGAAATACATAATCGGAAAACGAATTACTAATAAACGATCCAAACTGTATGCCAATAAACCCAAACCATTCAGTGAAAGAAGTAATGTTAAGATATTACTGTACTAAAAACGAAATCATTAAATTTCAATTTTGATTTATTGATTTTCAACTGCATATTATATCGTTTGCATTGTTAGCTATATCGGTGTAATAAAATTGTAATATGAAATATAAAACATGAAATGAATACAATTAGTAATGCAAGAATTCATATTAATCATGTATTTGTATTAATTAACGCGATTTTGCTTTCGTATTAATTACATTTTCATATTTAATTTTGCATTTATACTAATTATTTGTGGAACTGGTATAATATGCAAAAAAGAATTCATTCCAATTATTAAGCAATGTTATTAAGTTAAAATGATTAGGACAGATAATTAAATAATAAATTCTTTATTGAATGATTTGTATACGAAATTATTTAGCATTTCATTCAGATAGAAAATAACTCATATTTCTTTTTTTTTTTTTTGCAAATCTCTCTCTTTCTTTCTCGCTGAAATAATATCTATAATTCATCGGTTAAAAAGCGTAATTATAACTTCTGGACAAATTAGTTTAATTAATTTATGCAAATATAGGAAAAGAAAATTGAAATGAAAAATTTTTTGAAAAAAAAATATTTTTGAAATTAACTTACATGTAGTAAGCAATAATAACTGTTAACTAATTGATTGCTTGTAAAATGATTTATATCAATTAATCTTGTCACACCCAAAATGACATTTATCAATCCTGTTAAGCCATTATGTAATATAACAAATGCCATAATTGTATAATAATGCCTGCAAATTTAAAAATTATTCAATGTTGAATTACACAAAAATAGTTAAAAAATTAATGCAAAATTATCATGTTAATATTGTTGGAATCATTTTACCGTTTTGAGTTCCAAAAAAAATTTAATTTAATTAATAATGAAATATTGAATATGCGATATTTACTCATTAATTTAATTAATCAAAAATGAAATGTTACATTATTAAAATGTTAGGGAAAAAAAATTGAAAGAGGCTTAAATAAACATTAAGTTATAATAATAATACATATATAATTTGAAATGAATATATTGCTAATAATAAATAAATTACTACTTATTCATTTTATTTTTGGCTAACCAATATAGTAATAATATATTTATTTCATTGTTATTAATTAATGCATATTTTATTGGAGTTTGTTTAATCAGAAATAATATATGTATTTGATTACAAATAATCCTAATAATATAACAATTACAAAATTAAAAAACCAAAACTCACAAAAATAAATGATATGATAATGGTTGCTTTTAGCTTATAATAACAATAGCTTATCAGTCGTATTGTCAATATTTGTTATTTTATAGCAATAATAATATCATGTGATGCAATATTATGTAATTGAAACATTCAGTATGTTTTTTTTTTAAACAAATATCAGAAATTGATAACAGATAAATTGTCACTTATACTGTCAACATTTCGGGACAACAAGAAATTCTCTGTTTTTTTTTTTTTAATCATTTTAAATGCAAATACTCCAAAATTTTCTTTTACATCAGTAATA